TAAATGTAACGGAAAATATATACTTAAAAAAAAAAACATTAATTGAGACCGGGGTGACACTCGAACATAATAACTTCCACAATAAAGTAAATTGAAATAACAATGTACAGATTAACATATTAAAAATCAATTATTATTTAATTCAGCTAAAATTCGAGAAATGAATATTTACTTATTGCTAACAAATCTGAACTCTTACAAAGTTTTAAGAATAGAATTTTTGCTCGTCATCATGTACTTCTAGAAACGATTAACATAATTTAAGAATTACAAAAACTCTATCTCCCTACATAGCAGAGTTGTACTTGTTGATAAGCAAATGCTTGTATTATTTCCCTTTAGCTAACTATATTTAAAATTGTCAAAATAATAAAACATGATATAAATGCAGAAAGTGTATTTACAAGAATCCTTATTAATTGTTAAACCCAATAAGAAAATTATGAAATAAAGTTCTAAGTTGAGTGTACATTTTTAGACAAAAATAAGAAACCAAATTCTGAACTTAATTCCAAAATTAATAAAATCCGTCTTAAAAAAAATGAACGTAAATAATTTTAATACAGTACATACCTAGAAATAGAGGCGAAGAGTGGGAAATATAAACTTTATGTCTTTATTAGCGCAATCATAGATGTGATGCGCATTTCCTAACTCTTGCCCATTTTAAAGAATTAGTTCTTGAAAAAGGACCAATCAAAAATTATAACTCAGGATTTTCAGAGAACAATTAGTGAAAAGGCAATTAACGAGTAATTATAATTAAACGACAGTTACAAACAACTTTTCACTAAAACAACTCAACTTGAGTAAACAAGGTACTCGGTTATGACATCTGGTGTTTGAACAATTAATTGGTTTACACCTGTCTGACAGCAAGAAAAAATAATTACATCAAAGGTAAAAAGTGACTCAAATACAAATAGACTCAGATGCCACAATTTAAAGAAAATATACTTTGAATAGTTAAATAGAAATTATAAGACATTTCACACATTTTATACAACAACCAGAAAATAGTGTAATAATGAAAACACGTTACATATTTTAATTCTTAAGACAAAGCTATAAAACTATATTTACGCTAAAATAAGGGCTTTATATGCGACTGAATGGATTTATACAAAAAAATAAAAACAGTCAAAATCTAGGTGTGACATATATTTTGGATTCCAATGACAAAGAAGTGAAAGATTCAGTATATAACGTCACAATATTTGACCTTTGACCTCTTAATATGACCTCGACTTTTATTGTACATAAAGAATGGAGACTCCTTATATGCATGTCCAAATATCAGCCCTCTACTATTTATGGATCAAAAGTTACACTGCATTTAAGAACACACTGTTATATCGCTTTTAGACAGCATAAACACATTTTAAAATGTAAGGTCCCAAGCGACCAATATATAGAATGTCTCCAATTTTTAAAGAAAATATGACGAAAACATGTCAAAGCTTATTATTTTTCTTACAGAGATCATTGACAATATTGGGATATTATTCTCATGTAGTTTTAAAGAAATTAATTAAAATAGATTTAATGGGTGTTTTGTACTACTTAAAATGTAACATTTTTAACCTTTCCAAATGTCCACAATAGGTTTTTAGAGTCAATAGTGTGTTGTACGTAGTAATCACCATTGTATCCAGAATCAAATGAAAGGTATTCAAAAGGTAGTATGTTTGGTGATATGTCCAAAATGCCATCCTTATTACAGAAAATAAGTATTTTTTCAAGAACTGAATCTATAGCATTGATATTAAATATATCCCCAGTCGTCCCGCGTGGAGTAGTGGTTAGAGCGTTTGCTCTAGATTCGCGAAGTGAGGAGTTAATATTCATGTCGCGGGTTCGAACCCCGTGGAAACCGGTGCATCGGATGAGACCGTATAAACCGGTGTCCCGTGTCGCAGTAGGTACTGGCACGAAAAAGACCCCTCGCCACTTAATGACCTAAGTGTCGAGTAATATTAGAACAAAAATGTGTAGCCCTCTCCACCCGCAAGTGGTGGCGTCTCAATATGAGTGAAAAATTCTCGAAAAAGACGTTAAACAACTAACAAACAAACATATCCCCACTGAGCATAGCATTAACTAAAACAATGAAATAACAGAAATTGTCTATGTCGCCTGATTTTCTTAGACATTCAAAATCATTTAAAGCTTGTAAAGGATCATGTAATACTTCATCAATATTTGATTGCAGTCCTTTATATCTGCATATTAAATTACTTTTTTCCGGAAAATCAATCTTTGACATATTAAATATGCCATAAATTTTTCTTCCGTGATCAAAGTTTTCAGTTTTGTTTCAACAACGCTGTCGGAATTTATTACATTTTTGTTGATATGGAAAAGAACAAGCATTCTGAGAGTATTGCATTAGCAATACTAGTCCCCTACCGGCAAGTGTAATCTGGTTCCCGCTAAAAATTGAAAATGCCATAATTCCGTCAAAAATCAATGAAGCGGGACGAAATGCGAACTTGGTCTATAACTCCTCAAGGTTAAGTCACATGCCAAAAATCAGCTCAATATCTGCAAGCGTTTAGAAAAAAATTGCGGAAAACCCTGAAAAATTGAAATAGTCGTAATTCCGTCAAAAATCATTGAAGCCAAACAAAATGCAAACTTGATCTGTAACTCATCAAGATACACTCACATACCAAAAATCAGCTCAATATCTGCAAGCGTTTAGAAAAAAAGTCCCGAAATATGTGTGACAGCCTGACAGACAGACAGAGGGACAGCTAGACAGACAGACGGACAGACAGACATACTCGGAGGAAACCAATAGTCCCCTCCGGTTTCACCGGCAGGGGACTAATAAGTTCCGTTTTATCTTTGTTTTGAAGCTTTCTTGAAGCGTCCATAATTGGAATTTGGAAATACGTTTTTGTTATCTAAACCAAACCTATTCCAGTCTTTAAAAAAATGATGAAATAACACCTTGGACGTTTCTTGGTTTATTCCGCCATTTGTTTTTTTTTAAGCGTCGGTATATATTCATCGAAGTACCAGTTTTTTTCACACAGTCTGACAGTCGTAAAATACAATATTTATTCTGTGGTATGAGAGAGTTCCCAGTTGTTTAAACTTTGTACATGGGTATTTTTGGCATTCTTAAATCTGTAATTTTTCAGTTCTTCTTGAATATGCCGCGCTAATGTTGCTTTTCCACTCCCCCTTGTACCAAGAATCATCAATGTCCTTTTTAAGTGAGATAGTATTTGAAAGGCTGGATAGAAATTATTGTAGGTTTGTTTGATTTATTTTGTACTGATAAATTATTTTGAGGTGGGCAATTTTGGGAACTTTGAAAAAGAAAGATTAGAGAGATAACTTAGTTTCTTGTCAATCCTTTTTAATTGATTAAATTCGACGAAACACTTTTTTCTATATACCCATTTCAAATACCAAAATTTTCAAAAATAAAATTTTTAAGATATACATGTATTTGGTTGCAAGAATGCTGCATGTGTACTAATTTTACAAGATTCCTTTTTGGAGCCTTTGGTGCATTTGTCATTACTACGGCCATAGTATATAAAATTATAAGAATATCATACAATTAATCCTGAATCGTACATTGATAGTCCCTGGCCAATATGTTTGTACTAATATCGTTACAGGAATAAAATCAGTAGGATCAAACATGGAGATAACGAACAGCAATCACGCTCAAAAGTCCATAAAAAGAATACAAATTAGGAGTGACCAAATACATACCTCTTAAAACATCAAAAGTGGGATCAGATGGAGGAGTAAGCATCCCCTCCCGACCGGTCACACTCGCCATGTGCATCTTGTCATAATCGGGAAAAAGGGAAAGTCCATAGACAATTCAATGTCAACATTCGTCTTAATGATTGACTGTATCTCTGGTAAGGTCCTTGTATCGGTCTTAGGACTTGCAAAATGATGACTTTAAAGGAGACTGTTAATATTCATGTTTCATCAACTTGTTTGTCAATAACTTGCCTCGTTTAAGAAATTGTTCGTAAGTAGAGTACGCTCTTGCATATCGAATCAACGAGGAGACTTAAACCCCATATGCAGGTGATGAGGGTATATTACTACTTAAGTAAGTGAAGATGACGATAGAAAAGTTGAAGTCATCACGTTTATCATCAAGTTTTGTTGTTAGGTTACCATTAACATCTTTTTCTGGTAAAATATCCAAATACATGTTAGAAACAGATGTGTCAGACTCTGGTATTTTTTTTAAGTTCACTGGGATATATCGAGTGGACATATGAATCGAAGTTATCATTGTTAATTGATAAAACGTCGTTGATAAATGTTGAGTTGAAGGCCATAGCAATGATATATGGAGATTACGAACAGTATTCAAGATCAAACTCAATTTAAAAAATACAAGGACAAACAAGGACCTCCAAAAACATCAGAGGTGTGATCAGGTGCCATGGAGGAGTAAGCATCCCCTGCCGGCCGGTCACACCCGCCTGTGCTCCTTATCATGATTTGGAAGAACGGAAAAATCAGACAATTCAGTGTGTAAATCATGGCCTAACAATGCGTATGAAAAACACCAGTCCGCATTTGACTTGATGATAGGTGGTATTTACTGACAATGTCATTGTATCGACCATAAAAGTTTTTGAATAAATTCTGCTTCATATGAATACAAAAATAGATCTGCTAATAGTAATGGGGCGCAATTGGTACTAATTGAAATTCCGACAGATTGTTGGAAGACCTAGGCTCAGGATCATGAAAAAGACTTTGACTTAAGTCAGATTTTCAATTGGATGTTAAAGGTTTATTAATTAGTGAATAAATCTCTAAATTAGCAGATTAAAATACTGTCGTGAAGCAATATTGAAAATATTTTAATTTTAATCTGCTTGACTTCTACAACATTTTTATAAAACATAAAGATTTTGACTTAAGATCTCCAAACACTACATAGTTATTGTCAATCAGAAACTCAAACATCTTTTTAATATCAACTTCAGGATATGATAAGCACATTATTTATAGATATCTGAACAGTATAAAATACCTTTTATTTGTGTGCTGTCCTTGTGGGTGTTGTTTTGTTCATTTGAGGAAACCAGATTTTCTAAAACTGTTTCATCGTCAGCTTTTTGGTTCGCTGTAGAGACAAATCATTATATAGTTAATTTGCAACTTGATACTGAACTTCTACCGAAATATGTCTGAAATATTGCCGACTTTTCGTTAAACATTAATCAATCAATCGGTAATGAACTTATGGTCTAAAAGACTCTTTGAAACCTTGAAATCACTGAAATCATTTTTTTCTAACAGTATCGAATTCCAGTGTCCGGAAAGAAAAATTACTTGGAGAATTGGTTGTACTCTTCATTCTGTAACGCTTTGTCCTTTTTCATTTGTAGGTGCAGAGCAGGATCTTGCACAGAATTTAATGGGTAACAAACAGAGGGATCTCAAAACCATCATTAGTTATTCGGACGGCATTTAATGCCCTGTTCACACGGAGAGTTTAATTCGAATTAAACGTAAGTTACTGCGAATTAAATTTGATCAGCGTTCACACGGAAAATTTAATGCGAATTAGTTTAATTCGAATTAGTTTACTGCGCATTAAATTAAGTTGCATTAGCTCCGTGTGAACGCTAAGCGAAGTTATTATACCTCTACTGATTTTTTCCCTGTATAACATTAGATCGTTAGATGTGACTAATTCCCTAGAAATCGTTAAGAGTGGACTAACCCCCGTGTGTTAGTCAAGTAAGCTAATCCCTGCTTCGAAAGCTAATTCCCGGTTATCCGTAATCCTCTGGATTTTACTTTTACATAGGTATGATATGTGAATGGACTAATCCCCGTGTGTTAGTTCAGTGAGCTAATCCCTGCTTTGAAATCACGCTATCTGAATCCTTTAAATTTTACGTTTGTATCGATATAATAAAACAGTTAAAAGCATATCATTGAGGGAGTTAGCAAGAATCCAGTTCCCCTCGACCAGGACTATTTCCCTCGGCTTCGCCTCGGGAAATAGTCCTGGCCTTGGGGAATTGGAATCTTGCTAACTCCCTCAATGATATACTTTAACTGTATACTAATGCAAATTAAATTTTGACGCATGCGTAAGGGCAGAATTAATGCCCTGTTCACACGGAGTGTTTAATTCGCAGTAAATTGATGCGAATTAAACTAATGCGAATTAAATTGCGTTCATACGACAGCTAATGCGAAGTAAACTAATGCGAATTAAAATTTTATTTTTACTATAAGGCTATTCAGTAAGGCTATTATGACGTCATTTACAAATCACGTCACCTTATGTGGTGCAGATATACATTTGACATAATTTCATAGTGTCTGTACAGTTTTTAGTGATTAACATAGTTTTCCTTTGTTTTCCACTCAAAAATAGCACAAATACCTATATTTGACCACCGACATGTGGCATATGACTTAATTCTGCCTTTACGCATGCGTCAAAATTTAATTCGAATTAGCTTCGCTTAGCGTTCACACGGAGCTAATGCGAAGTAATTTAATTCGATTAAACTCTCTGTGTGAACAGGGCATAAGTCACAGGCCACATGTCGATGGTCAAATATGGGTACTTGTGCTATTTTTGAGTGGAAAACAAAGGAAAATTATGTTAATCACTAAAAGGTGCACAGACACTGTGACATAATGTCAAATGTATAACGTGATTTGAAAATGATATCATAATAGCCTCACTGAATAGCCATGTTGTGGAAATAATGCCCTGTTCACACGGAGAGTTTAATTTAGGAATGACTCTAATTCTTGGCCAAATTATTCGAGTATAACCTGGTTTGGGTCAGTTTACGCTTTATAATCCGCGAAGCGGATTATAAAACAGCGTAAACTGACCCAAACCAGGTTGTACTCGAATAATTTGGCCAAGAATTAGAGTCATTCCTTATAATTTAATTTTAAAATCATTAAATAACTATGGGTGTAAAATTTCGTTGCTTTTTATTAGTTTAAATTTGCCGCTCAATAATACAACCATAGTAACGGAAGTGATGGGAAGCGAGGGGAGGTAAAAACTGATACATAGGCCTAGCAGCCATGTTGTTCGTTTACATGTGGTAAGATCGAATTATTGTTTGAAGTTAAAGGTACATTTATTAAATCTGGAGTTTTCCATGAATCCCGAGGACTGTTAATGAGAGGACTGTATGGATACAGATGATTCAGCTGCTTGTCGGGGGGGGGGGGGTGTCCCCATACCAAACCAGGTTATTTAAGAAATAAACAACAATGTTAAAAAGTTCTCTGGGAAATGAACTTGGTTGGTCACGTGATCAAATCCTGTGAAGCCCGAAGGGCTTCTCAGAAGATTTGATCACGTACCAACCAAGTTCATTTCCCAGTGAACTTCTTAACATTGTTGTTTATTACTTTTATTTACATTTGAGACGAATATTCTGAATAGGACTGCATTTATTACACGAACGGCCCGCCGTATTGCTATGTTGTGACGCGCAATGACCTAGAAGTTGTTTGGTCTTGAGAGTTCGCCTCGCTCCAACATTTGAATACTTACATTGATGTTTAGCAGTCCAGTTCAGGAAATATCTGTTCATAATGAAAAAACAATGATCGCTACTGGGAATTATCTTACTATTATTGTACGAGTTCTTTATATATAAAGTCAAAAGCGGTGCTATCGTCTTCAGTTTACATACCTTCAAAGGAATTTCGGGTTAAAGAGGTAAGCGTGATTTTAGGCTAATTAGAAACATTCTTCACACCGAAGAAAGATCTAACGATCATTTGTTGAACGAAAAAAAAATATATGTGTCAATAATTTTATCTTTTTCATCGCTTTGACGGTTCAGAAGTTCCGAAACCAGTGTCACTGTGACAGAAATATGTAGACAAGATATCGTCTCGCTGTGTGATTCGGTCACGCCATGACCTCTGACCCCCTAATAAGTTCATACAGAATTGAACATATTTTCTCTTCTATAGGTTCATCTAAGAAAAATATTTGCAAATGTAAATAAACAGAATTATTTACATTTGCAAATATTTTTCTTAGATGAACCTATAGAAGAGAAAATATGTTCAATTCTGTATGAACTTATTAGGGGGTCAGAGGTCATGGCGTGACCGAATCACACAGCGAGACGATATCTTGTCTACATATTTCTGTCACAGTGACACTGGTTTCGGAACTTCTGAACCGTCAAAGCGATGAAAAAGATAAAATTATTGACACATATATTTTTTTTTCGTTCAACAAATGATCGTTAGATCTTTCTTCGGTGTGAAGAATGTTTCTAATTAGCCTAAAATCACGCTTACCTCTTTAACCCGAAATTCCTTTGAAGGTATGTAAACTGAAGACGATAGCACCGCTTTTGACTTTATATATAAAGAACTCGTACAATAATAGTAAGATAATTCCCAGTAGCGATCATTGTTTTTTCATTATGAACAGATATTTCCTGAACTGGACTGCTAAACATCAATGTAAGTATTCAAATGTTGGAGCGAGGCGAACTCTCAAGACCAAACAACTTCTAGGTCATTGCGCGTCACAACATAGCAATACGGCGGGCCGTTCGTGTAATAAATGCAGTCCTATTCAGAATATTCGTCTCAAATGTAAATAAAAGTAATAAACAACAATGTTAAGAAGTTCACTGGGAAATGAACTTGGTTGGTACGTGATCAAATCTTCTGAGAAGCCCTTCGGGCTTCACAGGATTTGATCACGTGACCAACCAAGTTCATTTCCCAGAGAACTTTTTAACATTGTTGTTTATTTCTTAAATAATTTGTGTTCCTTTTTGGATATTAACCAGTCAGAGGCTAGAATACAAACAAAATTAAATTATTTCGAATTAAACGTAAGTTACTGCGAATTAAATTTGATCCGCGTTCACACAGAGAATTTAATGCGAATTAGTTTAATTTGAATTAGTTTACTGCGCATTAAATTACTTCGCATTAGCTCCGTGTGAACGCTAAGCGAAGCTAATTCGAATTAAATTTTGACGCATGCGTAAAGGCAGAATTAAGTCATATGCCACATGTCGGTGGTCAAATATAGGTATTTGTGCTATTTTTGAGTGGAAAACAAAGGAAAACTATGTTAATCAATAAAAACTGTACAGACACTATGGAATTATGTCAAATGTATATCTGCTCCACATAAGGTGACGTGATTTGCAAATGACGTCATAATAGCCTTACTGAATAGCCTTATAGTAGAAATAAAATTTTAATTCGCATTAGTTTACTTCGCATTAGCTGTCGTATGAACGCAATTTAATTCGCATTAGTTTAATTCGCATCATTTTACTTCGCATTAATTTACTGCGAATTAAACTCTCCGTGTGAACAGGGCATAAGTCTCGATGTGTTTGGCACCATTGATCCCATAGAGAATCCTATTCCGCTAATCTAGATATTGCCATTGCCCTTGTTAAGATATTAGAAGTGCGAATTCAACACTGTTTCAAAGATTAAAAAATGGTTGTACAGCTATTGGTAATATGATACTTCACGTGAAACGCACACGAAGGTTTTTGACGCAATTCAACTCGTTACACAGTCTACTTGGTATGCACAAGTTGGTACAAGGCATTTTAGGGGAGATTCTTTCAAGGCCTGATTTAATTCAATAAAACGATGCACATCTAGATTCAAAGGTCTATTAGTAAACTGAAGCTGTTTTTCAGATCATCCTAGTTCTCGTTTGGTTTATTTATAAATTTAAGGTCATAACAATGAAACTGCATGTCCTTTTGATGCCCTGTTGACAGGTGACACCAGCTGTGAGTTATACATGTATATAATGATCAGGTAGACGGAATAATCCTTAGTCAAATTTAGTTTAAAATACAATGGCTAACAATTAGTATGAAATGTATTTGTCAAATGTCTTTCTATGTTTTTACGTCTTTTAAAATGTGTTTTAAAATTGTTCGTATGTAGAGCATGCTCCTGCGTATCGAATAAGATGGGAGACGTAAACACTATATGTAGATGATTGTGGAATATTACTACATAAATAAAGTTGACGAGGAGAAGCTGGAGTCAACAATTTCTAAAACGAGGCAAGCTATTGACAAATAAGTTGATTATACAAGGATATCAACAGTCTCCTTTAAAATCAGCATTTCACAAATTCTATGGCCAATACAATGACCTTGTCAGCAAATACAATCTATTGTTAAGTCGAATGTTAATTGACTTTTTTCATACAAATTGTTTGACCATTATTTTCACGCTGAATTGTTTGGGAATTTTTCTGTTTGCTCTATCATGACAAGAAGCACACAGCAGGTGAGACCGATGGACAGAGGCTGCTTACTCCTTCATGGACCTGATCCAATCTCTAATGTTTTAGAGTTCTGTGTTTGCTCTGTTCCCAGTTTGTGTTTTTCCAATGAACTTAAGCTTTTGAGCTTGGTTACTTTTCGTTATCTTCATATTTCATGAAGGAAAAAGGAATTTCTGGAACATGACAGTATTCGTATACCTTTTTGCAGTCTGTGCCTTCTTTTACAGGAAATGAACATAGCAAGGCCAACAATAGCCAAGCCAATAATCCCTATACATAGCACAATGGTGTATGTTGTGGCGCTTGTCTCTTCCGTTTGGTTCTCGGTTATATCACTGTGTGTTGAACTTAATACCGAAAGGGGAGTGGTATATATTCTGTAAAATAATTTGTACAGTAAGAACAATCGTCAATTTTATATATAACGGATCAATCACTCCTTCAGAAAGGTTGACAAAATTTACCTTTGAAAAGGAACACATCCTAAGTCTGGAATAAATAAAACATAAAATAAATAATATAATTTCAAAAATAAATTCAACTTTTGTTTTTTCAGGTAGGCACTTATGGGCCATCAATCTGAAGAAGATTTAAGTCATTTCGCATTTAAAGTATGTAATGTAATTACCGATCGTAAGATATCAGATTAATTTCAGCTTAATATTTATATCTTTAAGAAGGAAAATATTACATTTGAAAAGATCGCTGGAGAGGAATGAAACTGGTGGACATTGTCCTCTATTAGACTGACAGGCGGCATAGTTAAGTTTGGACGCTCCAGTATTGTATTCCGGACAGTTACCTGGAGAAAATGTTTATGTTAACAACAACAACAATAACAACAACAAAAAAGAATAGAAAGACAGAAGATACTCCCTCTCTCCCTGTCCTATTTACTTATATGCTTTTAGAAAGATTTTCAAAAATATTTTTTGTGAGTTTGGATGGAAATTTACAAAAAAGTAACAAAAGATTTTTCCCCTTAGATTTATAACATGCTGGACGAGTATTTCATCATCTATATACAATTCTATTTTATAAAGGTTTAAAAAATTACTTGCAATTATACTGCAAGTAAATAAATTGTATAATTCATCTTACTCGAAAGTTGTTAAACAGATCTGTGTCTTTTGTAGATTTGTCAAAAGTAAAGATCTACAGAAACATTCATTTCACTTAGACCTAAACCTGACAACCCAGAATAAGATGAAACTTTTAATATGGGTAAAATTTTTCTCCATTTAGAATGTTTGCTTAAAGTGATATATCTTTGTAGGTTGAGAATTTTTTTTTTTAAAAATTACCTGCAGGTACCCAAATTGAATGTTTACAAATCTCAACAACTTCGCCCTTCTCATTGTACAAACAGTGATACAAATCTTGAGATATACAGTTGGAAGCTCTGTCCTTCTGTTCAGCAAAAGTTTGAGGACAGCTTAATCCACGAATGGTGGTGCATTGGATAAGAAGAAGAAATAAACCTGACAACAATTGACCAATTATTAAAATTACATGTCGAACACTAAAATTTTATCACTACATTAAAATTTATATACATCTATATTATATATACAAGGAACTTCTTTCAACAGTTACAAAAATACTGTAAATCAACTTTTATTTGCGACGACTTTTCTGTGCCGTACAACAGTTTGAATTCTACATAAATACACATATAAAATGTTTGCGACAAGAAATAGTTAGGAGTACAATAATTAAGGTCGCAAAACTCACGAATATAATTCCTCGCATGCGAATAAAAGTATTTACGGTATTTTCTAGTGATATTATATACAGGGAAAATTGGTTTGCTCAATTTTTACATAAAATTTACATGACATCGCATAAGCACTTTTCCTTGTCTATAGTCTTGAATTCATATGATGCCCAAAAATCATTCAAAGATTCGTGCAATCATTAAATATTAGAAATTAAACAAGATCAAAGAATGAAACATTTCAGATCGACTCTTCACAACTATTGCTGCGAACTTTGATTTACAAAGCGGTCTGGTGTTGTATTGATACTTTTACATTTTAACGGATATTTTCAATGTTTATTTATATAAATCATCAAAAATTTGGTTTTTTGGAGGAAAGTGGTGAAGTTAGTAGAATAAACCATAGATAAAAACAGTAAAATGCACTTTTTTTCTCTCCTTTTGACCATTCACACAATAGGAATTAGACTTACCATAGTAAAACATTTTTTTTAAATGTGTCGAAAAAAAGGTTATTGAAGCAAATTTCCTGGATTTTGTTCCTAAAAATAATTTTTAGCGTGTTTTGTTGTGAAATGATTTGGTCTCTTGTATCTAGACATAGTTCGAGATTTCTAACACAGAAACCTCTATTACCAAAATGACAAATTCGGTAGACTTTTTTAATAGTATGACGTTGTTAACAATGTATCAGCATTACCGTGCACTAAGGATCGAGAGATGATACACATACACACACACACACACACACACACAAAAGATGCCTGGATTTTCTGCAATCATCCTTATAGATCTGTACAACTTTTTAGCACTTTCTGGGACATATTTATGAAACTTAAAATTAATTATTACAAGTTAAAATATATGCGGTTGAACCTAATCATTGTAATTATATATAAACGAACCGTATTAAAAGTCCATTTAAACCATACAAATAGTGAAGAGCCAACACGGACCTCTTAAAACAGAGATGGGATAAGAAGCCATTAAGGTGTAAATATCCCTTGTCCATCGGTCACACCCGCTGTGAATCCCTTCATGGTTGGGTAAATGGACAAAACCGTAGACAAGTTAGTGTGAAAATAATGGACTAAAAATTGCATTGAAGGAGTTATTCAACATTCGGCCTAAAAACAGATTGTATCTGCAAACAATGTCATTGTATCGACCAAAGAATTTGCAAAATGTTGACTTTAAACGAGATTGTCGATATCCTTGTATTATCAACTTATTTGTCAATAGAAAACACATATCATTATAGATATCATCTCAGGACAGATCACAGGTAATTATAAGTTATTATAAAGGACCATTCTATATGAGACCGTTTTGCGGCCTACAATGACTTCAAATTTTCAAGTGGTGTTTTTCCTTTAAAAACTGCATGAATCAGTAGGCTAATGATCCAATTTAATGATAAATGTTGACTGGTTAATAATGCTATAGTATTTGTTATGATATAAGGTCACAAAGTAATGTACTATTGGTCCATATTAGCATTAGGATAATAGGAAAACTCAAGAGGGTGGGTGCGTTAGGTAAGTTCTACACATGTCATAACCACCTTTAACCAACTCCAAAATTAAGAGGTAAACTTCTTATAAACATAAAAATTGACTACCAGATTATGAAGTTGGTTAAAGGTGATTATGACATGTAAATAAAGATTCTTCGCTTTATTTTTATGATATTTACAGGAAAATCTAATAAATGAAAATGAAGGCCATCAGCTTATATAGATTATTTTATATTATAAACTTTCAGCTAGAGTACAACTTTCAGCTAGAGTACATGTTTCTGTTGAATAAACAAAAAATGTCAGTCATGCATTTTCATTCAAAAAATGTCAATTTTTACCCCCCCCCCCCCCCCAATCTAAAATCAAAGGACTGGAAAGACCGGATGTATGAAATTACACGTGAAGACAATTCTCATTGAACTGTCTGCAAGAAATTAAGAAGAAAATACTTTTTTACAAACTAAGGTGTGAATATAAGCTATTAATGATAAACATTTTTATTATTATTATAGTTTAGTTTATTTATGCTATATTTTTGTATATATTCCCTAGGAGTACCGCATATCTGTCATTGCTAGAAATAGTTAAAGCTATCTTTATTGTATAGTGGGAAGATACATTTGCCATTGTGTCATTAACTTATTTTTCTATAGGTACACATGTAAATTTTATAGATAGGGAATTACTGATGGGATGGTTTCATAATGGGAATTCTCTGCTCAACCTTTCAGAAGGACCCTCATATTTTTTTTCCATATGAGTGACATAGGATCGAAGTATTTTGTTTTACCTGGGCGTTGGTAAGACTCAATTTATTAGGATTTCATGAAGCAACACACATTTTTGGTAGTGTTATTAGCTACAAGAACAACAGTTTTGTCTTAAAAAATTAAATACCAAGGGGAAGAGGGATTCTCTAAAGTCACATGTGACTCATAATTGAATGTTGCTTTACGCCTTTTTAGAATTTTTCACCCAGACAAAGAGATTATCCGCTTTAGGTGAAGTGTCATAATTTTGAATTATGCTTGGTGCTTCGTTATTGACGGGACCTCAGTCTACGCGAAAGTCTTAGGTGATCGATGTTGAAAAACAAACATCAGAATCATAAAACAGAATAGTTAAAGTTACATAAAATTTTGTTTTAAAGTGATTTTATCGTAGGCCGGAAAATGACCTTATAGAGAATCATTCTTTAGCTACGTATATATTATAAATCTTCAAAAAGCATACTTCTTGAATTTAAAATGTGGAATATTATTATATCGGAAGAAGAATATAAAATCGGTATCTCAAACTGTGACACTACATAAACACCAATACCTGAAACAATGATGCATATGCATTATTAATTTTCTGTACTTAGTTGGGTTTTTTAAATTTCATTTCACTTACCGGTATGCAGAAATCCATACAGCTAACAGTTATTGCAAAAAAAATCAAATAAACTTACCAATAAATATTTGGGGAGGTGTGTAGGGCATTATGGCACGATAACATACTGATTAATAAATTGTAGCAAGTTATCAAAACACATATTTGTATATACTTTGTTGCTCAGACTAAAATCTAGAAGATACTTTATCACTTCCGATATCTTTATAACTCATTCAGAGACTTAAAAACGCGTAATTGACGTCTGATTTAAATTAACTCCATTTTTTAAGTCTCAAATACAAAACGTTTTTAGTAATTGCTACAAGTAAGGGGATTGTCTAAAATCTCTTTTTTGTACAAAATCAGAAAAATATTTTTACAGATCAGAATACGATACATTAATACACAACTATAAGATGACAACAGTGCGTATATGTAGCATTTACATTACTTGACTAAGTTTGTGTAAAGTTAACGTGCCGTCTATAGGCATTTTAAAGTGAAATATGGAAATAACGAACAGTAATCAAGTTCAAAAGTCCATTGAAACAATACAAATTGAAAGCAAAGCAAACACGGACCTCTTAAAACATCAGAGGTAGGATCAGGTGCCATGAGGGAGTGAGCATCCCCTGTCGACCGGTTACCGGTCATTAGTATGAAAAACATCAGTCAGCATTTGACTTAATGATAGATTGTATTTGCTGACAAGGTTTTTGTATCAACGATAAAATTTGCGAAATGAAGACTTCAAATGAAACATTTGATATCCTTGTTTGTCAATAGCTTGTCTCGATTTAGAAATCCAAACTGTTTTGTACGCAGAGCATGTACTTATCGAATCAACTTGGAGGTATAAACCCCATATGCAGGTGATAAGGGTATATTGTTATTTTTTAACCATTCACTTCCGTAGCTACAATATACTGCACACTAGACTTCGACACATTTGTGTGCTAAACGTTGATCTTTATAGGTGTAACATAATATCGAATCCATTATGCTCTTGTGGTAAGGTAGAAGACACACACCATTATTTTTATGCCCCGGGATCGAAAGATCCCGGGGGTATATTGTTTTTGTCCTGTCTGTCTGTTTGTCTGTCTGTTGTCAACTTTAAACTTGCCCATAACTTTTGGTTGGTTGGAGGTATGACTTTCATATTTCACATGTGTATTCCTTGTGACAAGACCTTTCTTTTAGTACCATCATATTTGACCTTTTGACCTTGACCTTGGAGTTTGACCCACTTTTGCAAAATTTTGAGACTTTAACCTTGGCCATAACTTCTGAACAGTTAGTGCTTGGGGTTTCAAACTTCACATGTGTATTTTTTGTGACAAGGCCTTCCTTTGGATACCAACCACTTCGACCTTTTGACCTTGACCTTGGAGTTTGACCTACTTTCGAAAAACTTTAACCTTGGTCATAACTTCACTCAGTATCTGAAAATGAGTATCTCTTTTCTATTGTTCATTGTTATGTTCAGCTTTCTGGTAAATAAAAAGGATTGTGCTTATACTTAAAATGTGTATAGAAAATAATTTAGCAGTATATATTTCTATATTTCTATCTTGTGAGTTAATTTACTCTGTACATAATGTTGGACACGTCTAATTCATTTTTTGTGATATTACATGTAGGGAGAGGGCGAATTAAGTTTTTAGAACTTGTGCACAATCCCATTGTATATATTTAATACAATAAAATATTTAAACCGTAGGTAGCATGAACTTAATGGGTTTTTATCTGTTGGTTTTTATCAAATATGTAAAAAAAAAAAAAAAAAAAAAAATATCATCATCAGGTAGTGTAAATTCAAAGTTTTATTCACAAATTTCAGTTGTGAATATATAAGAAAAAATTTTAAAAGTCTTCTAAAAAACAGCAAAGCTATGATTATCCATATTTATATGGAAGCTTTCGTAGGTAGGGTAGGCTTTCGTAGGTAGGGTAGACTCAATTTTGTTAACATCATGATCCTTGGGGATAGGGTCGGGTCACACTCTGCGATCAAAGATCTACATGGAATAAAATAGGATAAAATCTTTAAAAAATCTTCTCAAGAACAGCAAAGTCAAGATTAGTCATATTTACGAAGGTCGTATAATAAGTAATGCAAAATGCGATCTAAAATTAAATAAGAAAAGCACAAGAAGCAGTTTCTTTGTATGATTTTAATTCCTCAAAATATTTTCTGTTAACCTTTACATATGAATATGATGGTGATCATTATTAAAAACGCCTTTTAGAGTTCGTTCTGTTTATTGTATAGTTAAATAATATTGCCCTGAAATATATAACAACAATATTGAGAATATCATAAAATCATTAATGCACAATCCAATATTATACACAATACTGCATAACGGGAGATAACTCTTACATTCATTAAATATAACCAAACACTCCATTTTTATTAATACTTTGTGCATATATAATTAAAAATACTTTACAACAAAATAATTATATATATTACTATACTATTTTCATAGGCATTATATACCTTTTGTAAATAAACAATAGATCGTAAAAAAACAAAAGCATACCATTCTGATGGAATAGGCAAGCTCTCGCATCATATTAAATGCATCTATATTATAAATGGCTGGGAGTCCACATGATAACTATAAGTCATAGTCTTTATATAATTCTCTTATCATAAATAAATATTTACATATTTTCTGGACCATAAAATACACTTGCTTTAATGCTAATAGCTAATAAAAATTTGACTTCCAAAATATCTTTCTTACTGTGCAAAAGTGATATGGAAATCAATATTGCCAAATTACAGGTTTCACAATTAATTGAACTATATTATAGATATGTTAAAATTAGTAAATAAATATTAGCTAACCATAAGATGAAGATATTGTCACAGCCAGTTGGTCAAATTTGTAAGATACAATATCAACATGACCTCTCTGCAGAATATCTGGACAAAGAGTGACCAGGAAAACCAAGGATATTTGGAGCGAATTTGACAAACGAATAAAACCCAAGAACACAAAACTAAAACCCAATAGAAACAGAGAACTTATGGTACTTATGACCAGAACCTTAATTATGACCCTTAAGGCAAATAACAGGGTAGTACTGCATGTTACATCTGAGTGACCATTAAACTTATTTAATAATCTGAAATAAAATATATACAAATAGAATACATTTTGATATTTATTAATTAATTAGAAATTAATTAATAAATTCACCACTTTTACATTAAGACTTTGTACCCATGATCAGAACACCAGCATACTCGTTTTTAGGGATGCTCAAAAGACACTGATGGATAGCTCTCTTCATAAATAACATACCTAAAATGAAATTGTAAATTCTTCCTTTGATTGTTTTCTTGAGTTTCTGGAATAAAAAAAAAATCTTACACTGACTGAGATCTAGCGAATACAGAGGATGTCTAAGCTCTATAAACGTTTCTTTTTTCAAAATTTCTTTCAAATTTCTATGCTTAATATATTTGCAGCAGCATTGTCAGGCACAAGAAAATTAACTCGGGGACCGGTATTTGGACTTCCCTCACAGAAAAGCTGCTGCACTTTCCTCAATGCAATTTTAACATAAAAACTATTTATGATGGTCTTTCCTTTATGTATAAGTTCGTGCATTATCGGTCCTCTTCACTAAAGAGATAACCTGTAGAAGATACGTTTGGAGCTCTGGCTTCTCTTTGCAATAATAAGACGACAGCTTTTTCTCTGATTCTACTTTCATTATATTGTTTTCCTTTTGTGCAATAAAAAGTGCATTAATATTTTGAAACCCATCATCAAAGTTAATCATACCGTCTTTTGCAACATAATGTTTATTTTTTAATAGACCACTGGCATATTATATAACGCATTTTCTCCTAGGCATCTGTAAGGAAATAAGACACTCATCTGATAAAGAAATATTTCTAGATTCATGTTTCCACAAGAGACCCATGGGCCACATCGCTCACCTGAGCACATTGGCTAGGCAAAAGCACAAATCAGTTCAGTATTGAAAAGATTACGGGGGGTGGGGGGTGGGGTGAATTTTAAACTACCTGATAATGATTCCACGTCAATTTAACAAATGGCTTTGTTGTACTTGAGAAGATTTTTTAAAAAAAATTCCCATATATTCCTTTGTAAAAATTTGAACCTTCAAAGGCTCTTCGCTATCCCAGGGGTCATGATTTGAACAAACTTGAATCTACACTACCTGAGGATGCTTCCATATCAAAATGACTAATCATGGCTTTGCAGTTCTTCAGAAGAAAATATTTT